GTACATAATGTCTCTTGTTTCCGTAGTGTTTGGTTTATTTTGTGATTATATTACTTACCTGAGCCTTCCTCAACATCACAAACAGACATTTGGGTTTTCTGTGTATTTGTTATCCTCCTGTTCATCAAATAAGATCAATTGTTGACACTGAAGGGACGCACACTAAAACGGTTTTCCCAGACAGTTCATTTATGAGAGCAGGAGAGCTAGTTCCCTCGTTTTTTACAAGTAGTCTGGCTACGTAATATTGGTGTTCGGGTAATTTGCATATGCGATGTAAGTACCGAGCTTCAACAGCAACCTCCCACACATCAGGAGGCCCTGTTGACACGTTGAAGCGCACTGTAGTAAACACCAATACCATCGGTCGCGTATCCTTGCTAAGGTGTGATTAAAAATCGTATCAGTACGTTAATGACTCTTGGGAAGCTCTCAGTTACCCTCACAGCACTGAGAACGTTAGGGTGGTGCGTAGTACGAAGGCAAACACAAGACGTCGTTGGAAGGCCGAAGTTACCTTTGTATCGACCAGAAACGTCCACGTCATGTGCATTTGCATTTAGAGGAACCCTGAGGAGGAAAAGAGGAATCTATACAATATTTGGATGGGGGAACATGAACCAGCAATTTGGAGGAATGAAGCCGCACTTTAAGTCCTATCTTATCCGACAGTATTAGATCACGCATGTAGGTCGAGGGGCAGGACTCTGCGTGATATTATTACTGTGTGAGGAGCATGCAGGTTTAGTCACTTTTCTCCTGCACGTGATCTACCAGTAAGCACACTGGTCTCCCCTGCTTTGTTTACTGCTAAGACTTCGTTTTAGTAGAGTAATTAGACGCATGGGCAACGCGTGAGTGAACAGTGTCTTCAGTCACGATAATTATCATTCAATTTGTCGAGTAATTTCCCAGTGAATGACTAGCAGCTGCTGCGATGTACGTGGACGATAATCATGCAGAAGAGTTAGATAAAGGCGGGTTTGCGTGTTTGCCGTAGTGTTCTCGCAGGTCAACATGGAGCCTGGTAATGCAAATTGTACCGCAGCATAACATTTATTTTAACTGCCTGTCGGTAAAGCGTTCGTGAGCTGTGGCTCATTATGTCCTCTGTTGTCAG